ACCCATCATGGCCTCCTGATAATCTCTGAACTGGCTTCATCACTCTGCTCTCCTCCCCACTGAGAGCTGGTGTGTGGGGAGCAGACTGGTGCATCATCCAGGTGGGGGTACACACTGGTGGTGGTGGAGGGGATCCCCATGACCTGTACGGCGCTTTGAGTGGAGTGTCCAGAAAAGCGCTGTATAAAGGATTTATAATTCTGATTAAAGCCCCTTGCCCCCTGGGTGCCCTGCGTCAGGAGCAGTGCGGGCTGGCTGTAGACCTGGCTCCTGTGCCCTCTGTCCCCGGTCCCCGTGTTACACAGACGCTTGTGAATCCGGGGAGGAAACGTCCTCGAGACATTGTCTCCCCCAGCTTCTCCGCAGGCAGGGCCCCTGAACTTTGGGGCGCAGCAGTGCCACGCAGCGGGAGACCCACGGGGCCTGTGTGCAGACGGTCCCCAGAAGCCCCGTTTCTGCGGGCGGATGGAGCTGTGGGCAGGTGCCGAGCCGAGTGGGGTGGGGGGGGCGCCGAGTGAGGGCGTGGACGCTGAGGACCGCAGGCTGGGACCCCCCTCGGTCCCCCGATTTCATTCCCTGTGGTTGAAGCACCCCCAGCGTGAATTGGGCCTTTTCCTCTTTGCTGACGAGAAGGCGACACGTCTTTCTTCTGCTCTGTGTCGCCGTGCACGCCCCTGTCCTCCTGTGCGGGTGGGTGTGGGTGGGGCGAAGTGGGCAGGTGCCCCATCGCCGGCGTGGCACGAGTGGGTGGGTATTGCCCGCGCAGGCTTCCTCTCCGTTTCTGCACAGCGCCACCGCAGGCAGAGGCGATATCGCGTGGGTGAGAGGACTCGTGTGTCGGCGCCCCCTGTTGACGTTAATATCTTCGCCTGGCCCAGGCTGCAGCTGCTGCTGCAGGGGCTCGGTTCGCTTGGCAGTGGCTTGTGGGATGGCGCGAGGCCCGTCCGGTTGAGGTCGGGGGGCTTCCTGCAGCTGGGGGGGGTGGGGGAGTGTGCACTGTTCTGGAACCCCTATCACGGGTTCCGGTCAGTCTGCCGCTTAAGTTGGCAATGTCTGGGGGGGTTGTTCTCGTTAAGGGCTGGGGTTCGGGAGGCAGGGGGCGTGGTTTGGGGGGCGGTGTGCACGCTGTGCAGCCCCCCTCCCTCCCCCTGTCCTTGTCGATCCGTACGGGGAGTGAAATCCAGAGAGGCGCTGGCACCCGGCGGCTCATTCTCGGGAGGGATGGCCGGGCGGCGTACCCGATGGAAGTTTCACTCGGCCCAGGGGGCACCGGTGCGGGCCTGGAGTCCTGGACTGACCTGCCTGTTGGAAGAAGTGGAAAGGGAGCTCAGGGCTCTGCCCTGCCTGTCCCCGCGCTCCGTTCCTCGGCTCCAAGGCGGCTGCGATCCGGTTGACGCGGCGGGCGCTGCCGGTGCTGGGATGCTGGGAGCAGGCAGGGCCGTGTCTGTGCCCGTTCCGCCTTGGCGTCTCGGTTCCGCTTCCTCCCCTGCCCGGAAGGTGGAGGATCCGGTGTTGCCCGCACTGGGTCCCGAACGGCTCCGTCCTGCAGGGCCGGTAGTCCTGCCGCTCCGCTTCCTGAAAGGGGCGATTCCTCGGATAAGCCTGGGAAAGAAGCCGCTGCTGCTGGACTGTCCAAGTCGGATACAGCGGGTCCCGGCTGATTTGGACTTGGGAATACTTGCAGGGTCATGACCTGACCTTGGGCGTTCTGTGGTTTGGCAAATCGACTGACTCCGTGATGTTCGATTCGGTTTCGGCTGTACGGCAGCGATGCACGTCCGTACAGGGAGTCCAGTAGCGGCGATTGAGGGCGTTAAAATCGCACCTGCCTTCCTCCCTTGGGCGAAGAAAGATCAGGCCTGTAAAACTCCTCGGCGCTGTTTGCGTTGCTATTTTTAAAGTCCCTGCCTTCGAGGAAACGCAGGCTGGGGGGTTCTATCGGTTCCTCTCTTCTGACTGATGGCTCAAAGCCCAGCGAAAGGTCTCGTAAAGAGGGGCTCAGATGAGTAAATAAGTTCCATTTTGACCTCGGGGGTGGAGCCAAGACCAGTAAGTAGATTCTGACGGGCCGTGTTCGCGAATCTGTTACAGAGTCACGGCCTGATGGTTTTTCTGAATGGAAACCAGTTCAGGGGCGAGGTGTTGTATGCGGTCCTCACTGCGGATAATTCTGTCTCTGCTGCGGTAGAAGGAGGAGATTTTCCCACAGAGATGGGCAGTAATCTCTGTCGTGCACGCTTGAGGCTGGGCTGGTGAGCGCGCTCGGCTTGCAGCCGCCCAGCCCCTGACTCTTCCTCTCTCCTCTTCCTGCAGGTTGGCCTTGTACGTCTACGAGTATCTGCTGCACGTGGGCGCCCAGAAATCGGCACAGACCTTCCTGTCGGAGGTAAGGAGCCCCCGAACGTCTGCAGGAGGGCGCCTCCTTGAGGGTACCGATGGGGGGGGGTCGGTGAATTGAGGAGGGGTTCTTCAACGAGGCGTGAGACGTGCACCTAACCCTGTCCCAGCCTTCTTCCGGAAGTCCTCGCCCCATTGCGCAGGATCGGAGGAGAGGAACGACAAGTCCGTGCAGCTACTGTTTTGAAGCCCCCACCCATAATTCAAAGCAGTAACGCGTTTCCACCCCGTCAGCACAAGCGAAATTGGCTCTAAAGTTTCTGCATCTTTTGATCGCTCCTTTCTCCCGCGTCAGCCTGCAGGCGGTGGATATCGGCGGTTTGTGACCCGTTACTGCTGAGTTACGGGAGACGGCTTGAACACGTTCGTGTCAGGATGCAAGAGGAAGGGGCAGATCGGCCCCATGAGCTCATTTGGATGGTGTGCCCCACCAGCCCCGCAGGGATAATCTGTCGTGAAATTCAAAGACAGTACACCTTTAGAATGATGTTTGTAAGAGCTTCGTTATTGTGCTGCTGCTGTTTCTTTAATTGGTGGTGCTTCTGTTCAGGAGAATGAAAGAGCTGTTGCCGGTGAGCAGTGCTCACGGCGCGTCTTCGTGCAGAGAGGAAGGAAGGACAGGAGAGGGTCGATGCAGCTGTTTGTCGTAGGACATCAACGGGCAGCTCTGTCCTCTGTTTGGGCTGCCTGGCTGCCAGGCGGGATGACCCTGACTGGGCTGACTGACAGGCCACACAATAAGACCCTCTTAGGTGCCAGCATGGGCATCCTGCTGCACCACAGACAGCCCTGCACCTGCTGTGGCCCCTCTGCTCCCGGTGCCCCCCATCACCTGCGGCTGTGCCCCCTCTGCTCCCGGTGCCCCCCCATCACCTGCGGCTGTGCCCCCTCTGCTCCCGGTGCCCCCTATACTCCACCACTCTGCCCACTCGACTGGCGGTCCCTCTGATTGAGCAGTCCTGATGTCTTCCTCCTCCTTGCCCCTAACCCCCTCCCCCCAGAAGCGAGGGTCTTCTCTTCTCCTCCTGCTGTCCTTGAGTTGCTTAGTTTTCTGGGGGAGCAAAAAAGTTGCCCTCCTATACAGAAGAGTGCAAGTATAGGGCCTGCCCTTCCCTGCCCTTCCTGCAGGGCGGCGATGGAGTATAATTAGGGGATCAGGTCCTGTTCCCCAAGCAGCCCACACAAGGAGCCAGCCTGCACAGATCTCTAATTTCAGAGCCAAAGTGAACTTCACCCTCTTTCCTTCTCCTTCTTAGCAAGCTGCCCTGCAGCCATTTGTTTTGTTTTTTTCCTTGCCTTCAGACTTGGAGCCCTGCCTGTAGCAGGATAAACCAGCCTCCACTCTCTTATGTGCAGAACGACTGCTGGGTCTGTCTCCCTGGCAGCACAAGATACGCAAAGACCTTTGTCCTCCTGTTCTGTCACATTCTCACCCGGTTTGGGGTTTGCCTGTTTGTCCAGACTCGGTTCCACAGAGATGTGTGGACATGCCCCCTTGGTTTTGGGGCGACCCACAGCGCTGGGTGAGGGGCTTAGCTTTGGGTTTAGATTGTAGGCCTGGGATCATCACTCCTGGTCTGGCGTGAGGGAATTTTAAACAGACACCTGCTGTAGCACGTGACTCCTCAGAAACAGCTGAAAGGTGGGATAACATCATCAGGAATAGCCACTGGACTGTAAGTAGAATGCAGACTCTTAAACCCCCATTGGTGGCAATAACATGTTTGGACTCAGACTGCATTACCCCCTGTAACACTGCTGCAGCTGGGGGGCACTGTGGGGAAATACCCCTTGTGTGTGTCTCCATCAGTGCTCTCCGGCAGTGGCCATTTTTATTACAATTAAACTCAGCTCAAACCCTTACTGGACTGTGCTGTGGTGCTCTTCTTGCATGCATGTGAAATTGAGCAATGCACCGCTCGCTGACAGAAACTCATGCATGGACTGGCCATGGCAGGGTCTGACGCTTACTGGCTCATCCAGTCCCCTTACTGGTCCAGACAGTGAATTAAAACCTAATTTCTTTCCCTCTTACACCTGTGAAATCCTATCAAACCAAGTGGATTTCTTACTTTTTCCATTCTCTTGTAACACTTTACAGCAAGGGTTGTGGGAGAAGGGAACACGCTACCCAGCCATGTTGAAGCCAGTGCTCTGAAGCAGCTGGATGAGATCCTTGGATTAGTTAACTACTAAATACCAAACAGAACGGCATCCTTTCATCCTCAACAACTAAATTGTTCTTCAGGTTCACGGGTAGATTTGCAAAGAGAAGAGCACTCCTCTTTAGGTGCTGGGAGCAGAGTGCCCAGACTGCAGTGAGGTAATTGGAGAACTTTGTCCATGTCGGGTCATTCAGTCAGGTGCTGGGACTCCGGGTTTCTCTCCAGCTGTTGGGTGACGTTAATATTCCTGAGGAGCTTTTGAAGCTCCGTTCCAGTTTTTACAATCTGCATTCTGGTTCTGAAGAAGCAGGAGAACAGTATACTTCTTCTGATGTGCACAGAGGGAGGCAGAGAAATTAACGTTTGGCCAGTCACAGTTATATGGTGTTCAGTACTACTGCTCTGAGTTTGATTCCAGTGTGGGTCAACAGTCTGTGTGGAGTTTGCATGTTCCCCCTGTAGTGTTATGGATGTTGGACAGAAGCTGCAGAGAATTTCATTCTTTATGGGTCTGTTAACTGGTCCTTGCTCTTGGGGCCAGAGTCCTGCAGAACCAAATGACCATGTCGTGCCCAAAGGCCCCCTCTCGTCTGTGGCGGTTCTGATCGTGATGAGATGAGACTGAATGCCTTGTGCCTGGTGCTGTTCAGCTGGAGAAACCTGAATGTGGGCAAACGGCTTGTCGAACCGAGTCAGATTTGCTTCGCCGGCATCGTTTTCCTTACGTTTCTCATTCCTTTATTGTAGATCCGATGGGAAAAGAACATCACGCTAGGGGAGCCCCCTGGATTCCTGCACTCATGGTGGTGGTAGGTATCGGGATCCTGAGAACCCTGTCATCTCAGTGTTGTGAAATCAGAACGGTGGCAATATGCATCTGCTGTGCAAATCTCATGGTGTTTTCTGACGCCCGAGCAGACCAAACAGGTACAGGTTAGCTTCCTCTTACTTAGATATATATATATCCTCTTAGATATTTCATGGAGGGGAAAAAAGAGGGCGCAGTCGATTTATAAATCAGTTATATATTCCTTTTAGTTAAATTTTGCAGTGTTTTTGTTCTATATCTACCCGGATTGGCACTGTTGTGCGTCTTCCATGGTTCGAACTCCGTCGCCGCACACGGGGGAGAATGAGGAAGTGTAGGCGGATTCCTCTGACCCCGCCCACCTTCCAGCCAATAGTCATTTGAACACATCATGAGCAGCACCGCCCCCCTACTACCAGGTCAGCAGTGATTGGAGGAGAGGTGCGTCACTAACTGACCACACCGCCGGCCTGCAGGCCTCAAGCTCAGGTTGGG